AAAAACACAGGTACAGAGCTTAATACCAGAGTAATGAGATTAGTTCATAAATTAAAAAAATTAAAAAAAAAAACCAAACAAAAAAAAAATCAACAGTTTCACTCTTATTTTCAGAAGGTCCCATGTGATGTGAAGTACTGTGCAGAGACTCCTTACTGTGTCCTCTTCCCCTTTCAAAAGCAAGAAAACTGACAGGTAGACCCAAGACTTGTAGTGTTTGTCGTTGATGGCAAAAAGGCAGTTATGGCTCTATGCGTCCGGCTTAACCAAATAACTGCAGCATCCCCAGCGAGCTATCTGAAGGCTTTTCCGCTGTCCAAAGGAAGAAGGACTTGGTACAATGTTCTTTGGCTGCAAGTTCTTAAAGGCTTCCACTGAAAGGGTTCTCCTTCAAAAAAAAGAAAAACTGCAGTTGCTGTGGGATTTTTTTTTTTACTAAGAAAATGCTGAGGAATAGGTGGAACCGATGTAAGAGTTTGAGTGAAGCCCTCACAGTGCTAAGATGTTGGGGTCTGCTACAAATATTCAAGTTCCAAGGCGTGCCGAAGAGCTTCCAGGTCAGCGTGACAAGAGATTCTCCAGAATGGCATGTTGTGCTAGAGTGAAACCAAAAGAGGGTATTTTTTTTTTGTTTGTTTTTGTTTAATACTGAGATCAAAACAACTTTCTTAGCTTGCACCCTCAGGAACAGAGCTTTGTACTTGGGCCACCAGGGTGTCCTGGTGTCACAGGCAAGGAGGCTCATCTCAGGAAGGGAGGGAGTGGGAAGGGTCTGTTTGCTGGTCTGTTCCTCCTGTGCGGAGAGGAAGACGGATCTTCCACAATTTAGGAATGTCCTGCCTCAGAGATGATGGAGGATGTGGGCTGGCTTTCTGAAAGTACTAGCTACTAAACTTTACTCTCATTCATGCTTTTTTTTTTTTTTAAATGGATTAAATGTTTTTAGAATTGTAGTATTTCTAGAAACAATTTTAGGTGAAAGCTGTTGTCAGTGCTTCACAGACAAGTAAATAATACATACCATAAAAGGAAGTTATTAAAATTTATAAAATTGTAAACAAAAAGTAAAATACCACACAGAGTCAAAGTGCTTTCTATCAATTCCCTTTCCAAGTTAACTGAACAATAGGTCATACTGCATTTCCTGTAAAATGACAGCATGCCTGCCAAAAACCTTTCTTAATTCCTGGTTTTGGGAGACTATCTTATACTCTTCTTCTGCCTCCCTGTTTTACAGTTTGTATTTACTGAGATAAATCTGAAGTTCTGTATGCAAATGCCCAGGTTCTAACCAGCCAGGTCTAACCAGCATCTGGACAAAATCTGGAAAGGTCAATTACCTGTGGCCTACCACATTATAACTTCTTTAAAATCTCTTGAAAATTGTGCATTTACTTTAGGAAAAGACGACTTGTATCTGAAAGAGGATGAAGTATCAGCTTTTTAAAAGTGCTGTGAAACAAGTGCAGTTTGATCGCGCAGGGGACCTGAGCTGGAAACTGATGTGGGAAGGTACAAACAGTTCTCTGCAACCACCACGGGAATAACATAGTTCTGTGATCATTAGCAATAGCTACGATCCAAGTGGTGCCTCACAAAGAGATAACCTCAAAATAATCCTAACTTGCTTTTAGATGTTAAATACAACTTTTTGTGGTATGTTCTGGTGCGCCTGAGGTTTGAGCTGGATTTATTTTTTTTCCAAAACAGTTAAAGCAGTTTTACTTTAGGTCAAAGACACAGCTCATTTCTGCACATAGATTTTTATAACAACATTTGGGACTGTGATGGTCTTAGCTTCCTCCCAAAACACCACTCTCTGTACAAGGATATGTATGCAATAACAAACACATAGAAAGCCTTCACTGACAGAGCTCACTCCCTTTCCAGCAGGGAAATACAATTTCTGAGTATTTTCTCACTGTAAATAATTCAACAGTAACAATCTGCTTCTGTGCAAATATCTTAGACAAGGCTCTAGGGAATATACACTTCCTACATAGATGATTCCGATGGAGATGTTCCTTTTCCAATTGTACTTACCTGTGTTAAAAAAAACTGCAGTGGTTCTAGATGTTTATTTTACAGAGTGTCTATTTACACTCCTCTAATGTTTAAATACAACTCCAGCTCCCTTCTGGTATGCTGCCTATCAGCAAACAAACGTTTCCTTCAAGCTATTTATCAGTGTGTGCAGAGACAGCAAGCAAACACAGACATCTGAAGCCACTGGAATCCACTGCTCTGCAATTTCACTTTAAGGGGAAAAGTTATTTCCTTCTCCCTCCCCCTTCCCTAGTTGTTATTAAACCCCTTCCATTAAATTATCTATTTTTTCATTCTTAAATGAGAAAAAAACTTGGCCTCCCGGCCACTCCTGTTGTTCAGCATTTACAGATTTATCACTCATCAGACAGGTGAAGAAAAATGACCCACTAAAATGGAGATATTATCAGTGCTGTCGGCAAAACAGTGAAAGGCTCTCTGCCCCCTCCCCCCCTCGGTTTTTGTGTGTATAAAGCTCAGGTGTGTAGAAGCCTTGACTAATGATTGTCATCAATCAAAGGAGGTGACAGCCCAGCAAAGAATGTGTTCTCCTAATGGGAGAGCTGCTTAGGCCAGGAGACACAAGCAAGAGGGTTCTTGGAAATCCTGCCTATAGGAGATCGTTGAACCTTCCCACTTCTTCATAGAGCCGAGAGCCCTCGAAGCCTTTGATGGAGTCATGTTCACTGACCCACTGCCTTTGAAGTACTGCACTGGGCTGTCAAAAGCAGCAGGCTGTTATCACTTCATTCCCACTCATGCATTTTGGACTCTTCTCTGACAACTCCTTAACCCTTCATGAACAAGAGAACAAGCTGCAGATTTAGCTAGTTTTCCAAGGTTGGGACAGGCATTGTCTCTTCCATTGGCCATGGGAAATGCACTATAAAAAAGAGGGTTTCTGCTGCTTTGAAGACATCCCGAGATACAATTCTGGGGATAGAACATGTGCCCATCACCTTATTTCTTGGGATCCCTTTGTTCCTGGATTTGTGCACCCAAAGAACCCAAATTTACTTGGAAAGTCTTTGCAGGGTCTTCATTCAGAATGAGATGTCAGGTCCTCCAGCACAAGGGTCAGCTGTATAGCCGAGTTCCTGTGGTGGAATGTTTTGTATATCACCTGAGCTACAACAGTGTGCCCTTTAAAAATTAACTGGTTTGCTGAAGATGGGACTAAAGCCAAACAAATGCAAATTCCAGGAAGGTTTCTGTTCTAAAGATCTGGAAATCAAAACTTCAGCTGCTCAGTTCTCATGTTGTACAATTTATTTCATGTACCTGACTGCTTTCCTTCAGGTCTTTGGTTGTTGCTCTCTATGTTCGTACCACTCTTGGCTTCTCTAATTCACTGATACTCCTTTTATACGGCAGAAGGATTCCTTGCTGGATCTCTAAATCTTCCCTGCACCCCGGTAAGTGTAAGCAGAATGTGGGCTTTGGTCTTCTCAAATTTTGCTTTTATCTCTTCCAAGCTCTGGGGTTCCAGCTTCTCTCTTCTCACAGTCTACCCAAAACAAGATTCAACTGCTCCCTAAAACTCCCATTCTCATTTCCCAGTGAGTGGGCTGTGGCTACTAATGACTGGAGGACTCAACTGGATGCACAGGTCAGTTCATTTAATTCTAATGCTACTTATGTCAGTGGGTCACATCTCTGCACTGAGCCTGAAACAGCACCGAGGGCTTGTTACTCCTGACCATACTGCTTTTGCCGTTTCTGCTCTACTTTGTATACAGTTCCCCTCACCAGTATCATTTTGCTTGTGAAATTAATCACATTAATCCATAAATCATTAATAATGGCAGCAACTCAGTATTAGTCCCCTTGTATTCACTCTAATGACGTTACACCCTATGATCTCAATGAGTCATGAATATAAATACATGCATGTATATATGCATATTCTAATACGTAATTCAAAACTAATTCCAATAATTTAGAATTTGCAAAAGCAACATGTGTAGATCAGAAATTCGTCCTGCTTGCTCATCTGAGATCACACACTGGAGTTTGCCTTTTTGTGTGTTTAAAGCCATCTTTATTAAGCGAGAATGATTCCTGGAACACGTGACACAGCAACTACCTGAAAAATGACACTACCTGCCAGTGTGGGGGGATTTACAGTAGGAAATTTCTCATAAGGTTGTTGAGTATTTTGCATATTAAGAAATGAGACTAATTGTAAACTGTTTCAAATAGACAGAGCTTCATTAAATGCTTAAGTAAAGAAAGGGTCATTTAAATTAGAACTTTGAAGAATCCAGCATGGCATCCACAAACTGTACCTTTTTTGCTCCCTGTTCCTCTTCAACACCATCTCCTATTACAACGTACACGGCTTTCCTTCCAAACCTTTGCATTATTCTTTCGAAACAGCTCTCTTTCCCTAAGTGACAGAAAAGAAGACACGTTTCTTTATCTGGATACATAAGGCAGGTGGGGCTGACATTCAGGTTCTGGAACTGGAGCTGAGACCTAATTACTTAATTGAACTTGCTGCTACATTCCTTGTTTTCTTTTGAAATTAGAACCTAACTGAATCTTCATCTCAGATGGATTCTCTCCATCTCATGTCGGCTACTGCCATTTTCTTTATCAGCTAAGCACTGCCAAATCCTGCCAGTTTTCCGTAAGCTTTGTGACTCTGATGCACTGCTCAGCCTGGCAGTTGGTAGACTGATGCAACACTCGTGGTATTTAGTTTTGAGAGCCCTCTTCTGTTCGTTCTGGTTGCAGTAAAAATAAGAAAATGCAAACCTCAGAGGTTCAAACACTTAAACCAGAAAAGACAGAACACAAAAAAAATGCCTCAAGCCACCCCTACCAGTATTTGTTACTCACACGGCTTCATAAAGCTCATTTGGCACACCTCTACAAGAGTAAGAGGATTCAAACAGTGTTTCTGTATGTAGCAGGTCCAATCAGACTTGCTCCTAGTTGGGTACAGCTGAACATCCCACAGGCAGCAGATGCTCCCAGGGTGGGTAGTTTTCAGGTTCACTCCTCCATGGAGACACTTTGGAAAACATTATTTTTTTTAATCTTTTTTTTCCAGCCTGTATTATCTCACGTGTGGGCGGTCAGGATGTGAATTACAGATGTGTAAACATGGAGCTAAAAATAAAACTCATTGCGGTCAGGTTGAATTGGATGTGCCTGACTTAGGGATAAAACTACAGTCTATCGTCGGTGAGGCCTAAGTTAGTTTGCTCTTACCTGTTTTTGTTGCACTGTAAATATTTTCAATGGGGAAGACAGTGCCCAGTCCATAGAGAAGCACTTTAGCAAGAGCTGGTATAAGCTGAGTTGTGGTGACCAACACATTCACACAGTTAGGCCTAGAAAACAGAAGTCAGTAGAAGTGGCAATCCGTGTTTCTCTCTTTTACTCTAGACTGAAAGATGGCAGGAAGCAAACTTCTTTTGTCACTGGAAGTTCTCAAGCCATTGGGAGACTATGCAGCTAGAGACAGATAATGTGAGTATTGGTAATGTCTTTTTATCAGCTTAGTAGAATGAAAGAAACCATAAAACAAACTGCAGTGGTGCAGCCTTACTGCACGTGTGCCAGGATCTATTTTGCAGGAATTTAAACACCATGTAGTGATGTCTGTGCTGAGCTCTTTTAGTGAAGGTGTTCAGAGATAAAAGGGCCCTTTTCTCCCTTTCCTAGTCTTTTGTAAATCTGCTCACATGAAAAGTGTGCCACAGATGAGGTAGCCAAGGAGGAACAAGAAAAAGGACTGTTTTTTCTTTTACTCAGTTCATCATCTCAAGCTTACCCCAGCCCTTGATAATACAAGTCTGGCAAACATGTGCAGACTGGCCTCCCACAGGTTTGGCCAGCAAAGTCCTATAAATGTGTCTCGATTTGTTTAGAGGGGGAAAAAAGGGAAGCAAAGGAGATCCTGGATCAAGCCTGTAGGCAATTCTTCAAGCTGTTCTTACCGGGAATGTATCAAATTCAGCGCCTTCAGAGCATGTGTGAGCCAGAGATCAGTCAGCGCTTCAAGTTCCGCTCTTAACTGCAGCCAGGTTTCCCTCTTAGGAGCTCCTATTAAACCTGTAAGCAGGGAAAGCATCTTTGCAGAAGCACAGAAAGGCAGTTACATGGCTTTGTCTGTAGAACACCAAAGGGCTGCTGTCTGTGTTCTGAACCCTGTCTCTCCCACTGCCCTCCTCTTGGTGCTGCTTCCCTTTGCCCACTGCCCACTCCAAGGGTCTGCCTTGAGGTTCACCAGCCCTGAACTGCAGCCCCCTCCTACGGGACCGCAGCTCAGCTCCCTTCCTTTCCAGCAGAATGGGATCGGTCACCCACGCACTGTGGGACCTCATTAAAACACTCCTCTCAGAGTTCTCAGAGCTAGCATAGGGCTTGCATGGGAAGTGAAGAAGAGAATGAAAGAACTGTTGCCTAGAGCAGGTAGTGGCCTGAGCTAGAGACAGCTGAAGCCAGGATGGTTTTGTTTCTCCTGAAAAGCTATGTACATATCCAGTACATGCGGGTAGGCTATTCCTCCAACTGAAAAAAAAAAAAAGTGGCAATATTCAGAGTTTTGCTTCTTTCTAGTCAGAGACCTGGCACTGGTCTTCTAAAAGATAAGCAAAGCAGCCTACTGGAAGAACTGTCTGGAATTAGCTGAGATGAAGGAACCTGGGACATCCAGCTATCTGGTGGTATCGTTTTGTGGGAGTTAAAACCAAGCAGTTAGGATACAAGAATGCCTTCAGACAGAGATCAGCCATATGTTCTGTAGGAAAAAAGAGGCATATTTAGTTTTGAACTGTTTGCCTCTTACTATGCATTTTGGAAAACTGGAGAAGGTTGCTTTCCTGACAAGTAATTACAAACTGAAGCCCCCCTCTCAGACCCGAGTCCTTCTCTGACCACTAAACCAGGTATTTTAGCCTATCTCCTGCAAATCCTGTACAGAACCTTATTTAAGGACAACTGCTGAAACACTTGCTCAGCTCAGTGTGAAGTGTTCTTATCACAATGCTCCCTGCTCCTCCTCCATAGATGTCCCCAGCGGGGTCAGAAATATTTGGGAAGATGAAAGGCAAGCTTGTTGCCTGACCACAGACACTTACCCCCTACATTGTTTTTGTAGGTGTTGTACATCTCTTTCACCCGACGGTAGCGGAATGCTAATTTCCTCATCCAGTCTACTCCCCCATGAACGCCTGAGCCCAGACACAGATTTGCACTGGCAGTTGAACTGTGAAAGCCATCTGCGGAGAAGTTATACGTGCTGGGAAAGGGAGGAGGGAAGGGGAGAGGTCAGTATAATTACAGTCTATACAGTGCCAACAGGGAGTGGGAAGAACTGAAATGAAATGTGGAGACAAGTGGCAGCAGAGACGTTCGCAGGACACACTGTACAGAACTGGAGTTCATCCCTAGCACAGTTACTCAGATTTAAACAATGTTCTTACTGTAAACACCATGCAGGTTACTTATCACTCCCTGCCAATTCTGAGGTTCTCTGACAACAGCTAACGGTCCTCAGGTCACTAAAACTCCTCACCTGCCTGTCATCCAGGCTGCTAAGGTAACTGCAGAAATACTCAAATCCTGTAGGAACACATTCTGGTGTTACCTTTCCAACTGTCTGGTGATATTGCTGAACAGGCTCGGAACACACAATAGATTGAGAAAAAAATTCAAGAAATTAACTAGAGGGACCTTAACTGCCTGCAACATGTACAAATTTGAATTTTCTTTTTGGGTTTTTTGTTTGTTTGTTTGTTTTTAACTGTGATAATATTTCAAAGCAAATCTGGAGTAGGTGCACTGATTGAGATAAAAACCCAAATTAATGTTTTAACCAATGTCAGAAAAGTTATCCAGATTCACTTGCTTACAGGCCACTGGAGCCAAAAGACCTAAATATACATGTGCATTTCAGTTACAGCAAAAAATCTTTCAAGTGTTCTCTGCAGAAGGAAAATTCTCTTCCCCAAAATACTTCATTGTTTTCTGTGCTGTTTCTTCCCAATTTTTCAAAATAACCAGGTATAAATAATATAATAATATTTTTAAATTATTATTAATAAATAATATAGTAATATAATTTTAAGGCTTTATACGAGCTCTGCACATTTCATTCTTGTGCCAATTACCATGACTCTGCAGGCAACACTTTGGGAAAGGTAGATGTAATTGTCCAGAAGTAGTTTTAATATACACGATGATCTACCTTACACAGATAATAATAATGTTTGGTGCAATTTTGATACAAGTTTCTACCAGTAACAAGGCTCTGGCATGGCAAGGTCCACAATCCTCACTACTAAGCCCATTCATTACAGATTGGGCAGTGGGAAACCTTTCAATCTGGTTTTGAAGCGGTTTGGCCCCACCTGTGCCAGCTGGCTGGTCAGATCCTATCAGAAACTAGAGTAGTCTGATGGGAGTCCAACCTAATTTTAGATATATCTCCCCAAATGGTTCAAAGCACAGTATAGTCAGGGCTTGACAGTAGGCACAGGCATATTAATGTGAGAAAGGGGACTCCGTGCTTCTTTGTGCTTAATAAAAGCAGACAGTGTGGAGCCAGGGAGGGGAGAGAGCACATGGCTGAGAACGTTATTTTACATCAGTGACCAGCCCCCTGCTACTTTCAAACAGCTGGGGACTACCTGACCTGCAGTTTCCAGCCTGGAGATCCCGTACCTGAGATCTTGACCGTTATCATCTGATGATACATCATCTATGTGGATCTGGTCACAGTCCTGAGAAGTGTATAAAAAAAAATCCAGCAGTAAGTAAATGCTTTGAAAATGTTTTTGAAAGAACGTAACGAAGAATTACTTTAAGGATAATATTAAGGAGACAAAATCTTACATATTGCTAGTATTGTCTGGCATAGTCTAGCCAGTTCATTGTTAGGAACAAGTATCACATGGTACTTGCACGAAATCTGAATAGACTGTGTGTGTGCGTGTGTGATCTGCTGTTATCTAAGGGCACAACAGCTCTTGAATAATAGAGTAAGCAAAACTCCTTCCTATGCAGACAGAAGGGAGAGAGATGCTTGTGTTTTAGTCAGGAAAACTGTGTTTTTTAAACTTTGTATGCATGATAAGACAGAGATTTGGCAGCTTCTCCCCCTGTGAGAATACTGCTTTGGAGAGGAGGTGTATGCCCACGTAATTACAAGGGGGGAAGATCTGTCCCAAAGAAATTTCCAGAGATGCTTGTTCTGCTGTTTTCCCAGTTGGTTCTGAGGGGGCCGAGCCTCCTTTGATGTGTGGGGAAGCTGAAGCACTGAAGGCGGCACCTTTTCATAGCCCCAGCCACAGAGAGAGTTAAGGAATAATGTGTGTCAGTAACGAGGAAATCTATGCACAGGAAATTTCACGAGAATATATACTTGGAGCTCAGCCTACATAAAGTATGCACCCTAGATCTTATCTTCCCAAATCCTTCATTGTTTGAATGGTGAAGGCCCTGCCTCAAAAATTTGAGAAATGTTATTTCTTTGGTTTCTTTCCTAGTTTTAGCATTAAGATTAGAAAGAGAAAAATCAGGAAGTTTCTCCCACCACCTTAAATCTCCTTTCTCCATGACCCTTGCAGGTAAGAACAAAATAGAAAGCTTCAAACTGAACATTTGTCTTTTGTTCTGGTTGATTTTTCAACAGAGGTAAAAGCACTTGGTACAACAGGACTCTGAAGTCAGAAAAACCGCCGCCAACCAAGGTACAGTTATTCTTCACCACTTCAGTATTCTGTAAACCACAGAACTTGAGCTTCCTTACACAATTAGGAGTTTTATGAATTACTTTAAAACTAGCCTCTTTCAAAAAAAAAAAACAAGAAAAAAAATCCCGTAACAAGTAAGTAAACTTGCTAACAATGGCCAAATGTCAGAGAGTTCTTGTCCATAATCATGAGCTTTCTGCAGCATTTAATTTAGATAATTCTCAAAAAGTCATACAATTTTATCTTGTTCTCGTCTCATCAGTCATCTTATCAACCTATCACTGTGGTGTATATTACTGTATGTAACTGGAGCCAAGCGGCTGAACAGCCCATCTCTGCTGACACCTCTCTCTCTCCTCTACCCCCATCGTTTTTTAAGCCCCCCTCCCAGTAGCTGTTGTGAGCCATGCTGGGATAATATTGATGCAGACCACTCCGCTTCAGTTGTATGATGCAGGGCATTAAGTCAGGGGAAAGGTATTTGTGGAGGGATCTGTTTTTCTCATTTGTGAATGAATTGTTCTGTACACTGAAGTGTGACAACAGTAGCTATCACATTTCTGACTTAATAAAATACCATGACACTTGGTGAGACGCTACCTCATAGTCCGCCGGCTGAGCCTATCGTGTTACTGGGTGAAACACAGGGAAGCTGGTTAACACAAGAATGTGGACCATGTTTTACTACTTGGTTACGAGACTAATTTTTCATTCTTGCAGAATTTCCTTGAAATCTTAGCGAGCAGGGAATCAAGGCAGGATATCTAGGCTGCTGAAAAGAAGGACCCGATTGTTCAAATGGAAGTCTGCAGTGGGGACGTATTCCGGTTTTCACATCTGCTGACTTTTTAAAATGATACTGCAGGATCTCAGCGGTGTGTGGCGTGTACAGCCTGTAATGAGTTAAACCTGTAAGACCTCAGCCAACCCTCACAACTCTGGGAACTGAACTGTTATAACTGTTGTGATACCTGTAGGTCAGCCTGTGCTACAGAACCTGCATCCAGGTGGGATCAGACCCTTGTACACCCATGTAAAGGAGCCAGAGCTCATGCAGCTTTGAAATGGTACTGCAGGTTCAGAGAAAGCCTCTGCTGTACGGTGAAATACAAGCTGTTCCTGAGGACACATAGAGAAGCTCCTTCTGTTATCGTTTATGGTCCTGTCTCAAGGTATGTCTCCTGCACGTATGAAAACACCTCACAAATGCACAGGTTGTCAATTTGTGTATCAGGACTGTGTTAGAGATTTTTAAACTTCTGGTGGATTGATCATCAGAGCTTGCATCCCTCATTAGGTAGGGGTTAACAGTTCCCAGAACACAAAACCTCCAGGGATGGCTCTGAAAGGCAGTAACTTGTAAACACACTAATCCCTTTGTTTGTTAGTTCCTCATCCCCCTGTCAGTTCCCCTGTCCTTAATACCTGTTTTTCAGAGTGATAGACAATAATATCTCCAGAGGGACTGTGGGTGGAAGGTACTATTCTTTAGCCAGTGTTGCACTGTGAGCAAAAGGCATCTGAGAGAAAAAGCACAACCCTGGAAAGCCCAGAATTCATATTTTAACTTCACTGTGATCTGTAACCTTGGGCAACTCTTTTTCTCCCTGATTTCCCAAAAGGGGAACAGAGAGTGAGAATACCTCCTTTCAAGAGAATACTTGCTGATATATTCTACAGTGTGATCAGAGCCCTTTGTACGCAACATCTTGTATGGCCTATACTTGCAGACCATAAGGATTTAATCTGCCTGTACTGTTGCAACTGCAAGCAGAGATGATGTGGTCGACAGGCATATAAGTGCCACATGAGTGGATGAATTACTGTGGCAAAACCACGCTTGTATGACTTCAATGCGTGGCTCAGCAAACGCAGGCCTTGCTTGCCCGGATTGTGTTGCTAACAACCCCCAGACTGGGGCAATGCTTGTGTCACTGCATGCCCTGGAAATGGAATGCACCAGCTGCCCCTGTGAAGGTTTAGTGCCTCGACTCTTTGCTATGGGGCAGGCACACCACTACCACTGCTTCAATAAGCACCGACCTCCTCCTCTGCCCTGAATCAGTTGGGAAAAAAGTCAAGCTTCTAAGTCGTTCAACTTAAGAGTTAACTTGTTGACATCAGAGAATCTGTTGTTGTAAAAAGACCAAAAGTGCTTAGTAGAACTCTTGGTCTAAGGCTTCTCCAGCCAGCCACCCGCCCTGGGGATCAGTGATGAGCCTCCTTCTATCCAGCTAGCCTGAGGTTAGGGGTGAATTGAATGGGAAACCGGCCTCTCTACTAGGCTGCAGCACAAAGGAGGCACAGGATCTGTTGTTGTAAAAAGACCAAAAGTGCTTGGTAGAACTCTTGGCCTAAGGCTTCTCCAGTCAGCCACCCGCCCTGGGGATCAGTGATCAGCCTCCTTCTATCTGGCTAGCCCGAGGTTAGGGGTGAATTGAATGGGAAACTGGCCTTTCTACTAGGCTGCAGCACAAAGGATGCAAACTTGAAACAGTTTATCTGAACGGATCTGCTGATTTGCCTTTTCACACATCCAGGATTCTGGCTCTTGAGCATGCCAGGAAAAATGCATGCAGACAATGCATCCAGGAAACAGTTACCTGAGTCCCTTCTGGGTAAGCCCTGTAAACACATAAAGCCCTGGCTAACAACAGAGTCTCAGAATCATTTTTTGATAGAATAAAAGGGTTCCTCACTCAGACTTTGAAGCCATTTTTTTGTTGGGATGTGAAATCACATCCTCACCAGACTAAGGAAGATCACACAAACGCTAATAAGGGCTGTGCAAACCTTGCTGTATCTACGGACTAACGTTTCATCCTCATCAGGGACTTTCTGGAAATGCTTCAAAAGGGCTTTTTATCCCGGCAGCACCTTCTGCTCTGCACAGCACTGAAAACTGCAGCCAGCAAAATAAACCATTCCCTTGTGCTAAAGCAAGATATTAACTGATTTTCTTGTCCAACCTGCCTCTGGTGAGGATGGGCGATATCTCCTCCACTTCTCCCCCTGCTTCCACTGTCAGGACCAAGGCCAGCCATACTGTGGTTCGTTCAGTCTGCTGGGGCCCCCAAAATGCCTGAACTTGGTTATGGATGAGTGCCAGAGGAAAGTTTTGCCATGTTTAGCATTAGCCAGGAAGAGTACTCCTGCTTTGGCCCTGAACAGGGGCAATGATCCTACTGCTTCCTCAGTTACAGCTTCTTTCACCCTGTCCCAACACAGAAGTTGGTCAGAAATGGTTTCAGCCCCATGTGGTTTTAGCTTATTTTGTCTTGTACAAGCCAGTGTTATACCACATGATGGTGCTAACGTATATGGTAATGCTTGTGGGTCTAGAACTGAATCAGCTTCTTTGCTTGTTTTTAATCAATTTCTTTTTTAACAATATCATTCACTGTATTTTTTTTAAGCCTAACTTGGTGACGTGGGATCCTTAAATATCACTTTGTGAATATCAAAGCTAACTTTTATTTATCATCCTAAATGAAGGAATAGGCTGGTTAACGAGCAGGGAAGGATGACTGTTGTCACAAATTCTTCCACACTAAAATGGCTTTTTTTTGGAAAGTGAAAACAAACCAGCTTAGTTTCGTTTTGGTTTGAAAAAAACTTTGGTTTATTTCACTTATCAAGCGTGTGTGAGAAGCAAAATGTGAAATTTTTCAGTAGAAAATGCTCCTCTATTTCCAGCTCTCTCTCTACCTGGGCCATGCATCATCATTTAGAACACTTAGCACTTTTATCTTAGTGCAGGACCTAAGATAAAATTGTCTCACAATGCTCTGTCTTTGCTCGTTTCTGCTCTGGCTAGCTGGAACACTACTTGTTTTCAAAAGTTTTAAACACTTTTCACAGTTTTGAGCCATCCAGGTACAGCAGCGAGCTGTTCTCACCTTTAGGTGCCTATGCTGACCCTTTACACCCTCTGGCCATCCACTGACTTACTCATTCTGCTGCCCACCTTGGTGTTTCTCAATTTTTCAGTAAAAGCAGGTAAACTGATAAGAAATGAGCAAAAATTGCTTCTCATTTCTCACACAGCAACAAAATAGCACTAGTAATGGAAATGTTTTTATTTATCATCTTTGTTGCTCAAACTAGAGATAACCTCCCTTAACATTTTGCTGAACAGATGTGTCCTGTAGCACCTGGCTCCCTTCCTGTGCTGAAGATGGAGTCTAGGTGCTTTGCTGAAGGTTTTGATTTCTATTTGGAGACACAGTGCTAAACTTCAGCTTTTCACTGGACTGGTTCTTACTCAGTTACATAGTCCTGATGGAATGAGAAAGTCCTGTATCTAAGGGTCCTGTATCTGAGCTTGAGCAGACCTCCTGCTCTGTCTGTGTGTGCAAACAGAGCTTCCTTGGAACACAGACCATTTTTAAAACCTCTGCATGGGCTCATACCTAATTGCTACCTGCCCCATAGGATCCATGCTAATTTTGCGTAATAAAATTATTAAATAGCAAATTTCAGGAGAAGCAGCAGCAATGTCCTCATTATTAGATTTAGTAAAACTGCCAAAAGCCATCACTGTTACTGTGTATATAGAAAAAAAATTCCTTAACAGAATGAAGATGTCTAAGGGACACAGTAAAGTATGCTTCCAATAAGCCATCTAAGGCTATTTCTTTGGGGTCAAAAATGAAAGTTTCTTGGCCAGAAAAAACAAGTTTGTAGACCAGATGCAAATGATTAGAAAGCGAGTTGTTAAATAAAATAAGCAGCTACATACCTCCAGGTCATTAAAGAACAGATGTGTATCTGCAAGGTTGAAGATCATTTCTTCCATCATAAGACCTATCCGCACAGACGTTGTTGTGTCCTGTTAAGAGAAAATAAGGGTCTTTTTCCATTCACTTTGATTTTTTTATTTTTTTTTTTTGCAGGGGGAGATCTTAGAGCAAACATAGAACCTACACATTCCTGTTTCTGAAGATACGTTCATTAAAGTTATTTTATTTCCTAAGTGTATCTTAACATGATTTTCCCATCCTTTCTTTTCCTCTACTAGATAATCAAATTATGTTCTTTGAAGGATGTCTATGGCTTGCCTTGACCAATAATAGCCCACAAACTTCAGATGATATAACAAGAACCTTTAAACAACTGAGACTATATAGGAATTGCTTCAGTAGGTTAAACCAAGAACTGATTTCCACTAGTGTCGTCAGTGAACTGTTAGGGGATAGTTATGAGCAAGAAAGCACACAGAGGGTGATCCTTTCTTGACTCCCACTTTCAAACCAAAGGTCAGCATTATTCTCTTTTAATGTCAAACAGCAACTTGGTGAGCAAAACATGAAAACAGAAGCCTTGGAGCTCAAGCATGTGCCTCAGAATGCTTCACTTAGCTCTTTACTGCTATGCCAGCTCAGGTGATCCGTACAGAACAGGACAGAAAGGCAGAGGTGCTGTTCCCACATCAGAGCCCAGCGTGTATCTACTGTCAGGCAGGAGATGCAAGAGCAGCCACACCACTGCAAAGTTCTTCCATCCCCACTGAAGCTGCCTACTTATTTAACAGCATCACCAGAGTTAAACTCATCCCATCCTACTACGCAAACCCAATTATAGCATGATAAAACACTTGTCTGAGTATGACTATTCCTGCTCAGGACAGAGCGTGCTCTGCAGTGGTATAAAGCACGCCTGCAGAGCCAGAACTGTAGCCACAGTGACAGTTACACCCAAATAACTGCATTGATTCAAAAAAAAAAAAGACACAGCACATTAAAATGTTGGATGGGTTCATCTGTCTTTCTAGCTAATGTTAGAAATGGTGATGTGCACCCGATGCTCCTGTTTGTGTGTGCTGGCTGACTGTGATGGTTTGCTCATTCTGCCACCTGCTTGTACCAGCAGCCCCCTGCCCAGCTGGGTGTGTGGGTCTAACGTGGCCCTGCCCCAGGAGAGTCCCAAACTGATTCCTAAATGGGAAGGATGTGATGCAGAAGCTCTGGCTGCCTGCAGCATTTTTAAACCACACTTTTTTAACAATTAAGAGAATGTGAAAATGCACAGGCCAGCAGCTCTAAAATGGCTTCTACATGTTCTGAAGCACGTGTGAACTTTCTCACATCCAGATCCTGCCCCTAGCAACATCAGTGGTAAAACCTTAAGTAAATTCCCCTGGAGAAGTACTGCGCTACCTGCGGCTA